TGAGGACCTCTTCAAGAAGAAGTTGAATCAAAGCTATGTCTTCCACCTCAGAGCTACAAAGAAAAAAAGTGTAAGAAGAATCACTATATGCACTATATGCACGAACACGAGGAGGAATTACATGCGGTACACAGAGTTTTGATGATTTTGTTATTATGTGTATTGTATCGTGATAAATTAATCAAGATTTTGCGTGATGAAACATAGAGTAATATTAATCAAAGATTAGTCATTTTCGAAATTGAAACATCTCTTGTCGTCTCTAAATACGAAGTCGTTATTAAAGTTAAATTATTGATTAATAAATAAAGGTCTAAAGAGAATAGAAATGAAAAAAAAAATAGTACACACCCAATAAGCTTAATCATCTGGTTGCACTCTCCTTGTGCCTTTTCCCACATGTTGTTGGCTTTGAGGTTTTTATCCTTTTGGCCCTTGCCGCAGATTTCTCCAGCATCAGAAGTCTCAACATGTTTTGATTACACCGAGCACCGACTGTTCTCTAAACTGCCTTGCCTTTTCCTATGGTGTCTTCTCCTTGCAGGTTGCTTGATTTGCACTGAACTTGGAACATAGGGGCACATGAGTAGTGGATTAGACGCCTTGGCATGGGCAGGTTTTCCGAGATCCACAACTGTAACGGAGCCAGAGTATCCAATCATGGTAATTGCGTCGTGACCCACCGCTTGATCAACAAGCAAGGCGACTTTCTTCACCTCGTCGATTAAGAAACTCCGGAAGATAGGCTCAATCGGAATGTTAACGTCTAGAACCGCAGCCACAGTGAATAGCTTGCTCCAAGATATCTCCTTTGTGGCCTCCTCAATCTTAGGGGTAATCCATATTTCAAGCTCAAAAGGTTCGTCAAGGGGTTTGTCTAGTAAAATAAAGCTGCAAGCTTCTCTTCTTTGACACAAGAGAGAGTCACAAGCTTCTCATGCACATTGTGAAATCTAAACGGTAAAGGCATAAGCGGTCCAAATCTCTCCCTTGTAAAATCAGTAAGTGTTTCCCTTGAGAGAAACACCAAGGTTACCCCGTCTGGACGGACAACAAGACTTGTCCACAAATCAGAGCGACATGAATTATGAATTTGTTCTATATAGTTTTAATAAAGAAAAGCACATATTTATATTCAAAAACTAAGAACATAGGTCACAACAACAAAGATTCATACATCACATGGTGTAAAAAAGGGAAAGAAACAAAAAACCAAAGCCAAAAGAAGAGATACCAAATATTTCGATTATATAATTTGGCAGTTATAACTTAAGAAGAAATACATAATGGCATATATTAAAAACAGTGATAATGCAATCAAAGAGACTTTACAGCTAGAAAACGAGGCTCCTTAGCCATAAACTTCTGGTTTGCATAAACATCCATGTAATCTCCAAACACAAACTTTGGATACTTCTTCTCACTTCCTTCCTCCGCAGCCGTAGCCGCCACCTCCGCTGGCCCGATCGCCGCCTTGTACGACGGATTATAGAAAGAAGCTATCGACCTCCGGTTTCCTTCCTCCCTTGCCAACACCCTGTGCCATGCACTCTTGTACCTACCAAACCCATTTTGGTTAGCTTAAACACAATATCTCAAATTCCGGTTCCTTAAACCGGTTTGGTTCCGAACCAAATCTGGACTAAAGTTACCTTCCATTGCTAAGAACTTCAATCTGATCACCAGTGTTGATAACGATGGCGTTGGGTAACGGCTGAACATCGATCCATTCGCCGTCTTTCAAGACTTGAAGACCATCATATTCATCGTCTTGGAACAACAAAACGACTCCTCCTGCATCAGTATGAGCTCTAAGGCCACTAACGAGTTCAGGATGAGGACAAGGTGGGTAATGGCTGACTTTAGTTCCAAAGAAAGCTGTCTCTTCTCCATCTCCCATTCCTTCGTTAAAAGCTTTCTTCATGTAACCTTTAGGCAATCCCAAGTTCTCATCCATCACTTCCATCATCTTGCTTGCTAGCTTCCTCACTTCTTCTCTGTATTCTCTCATTGTCTCTCTGTTTTTTTTTTTACAAATAGATAAAAAAAAAAAGTTATGACCTTTGAATCGAATTTGAATGGTTTGAGGTTGTAATATGAGAGAGGTTGTTTACTTGAGGCCAGAAGTGTTGGATGGCCATTCGTTTTGGTTATGATCTAAGAGAAGGAAAACATCTTCCCAATCGACGTTTTCGAGTTTTTCGCCGGAGTTTCTTTTAACCAATTCGTCGAGTAACTTCACTAGATTTGAGGTCTTGAATGCTTCTTCTCTCTCGGTTTTGTAGCAATCTGAGCTTAGCTTCTTCACTTTATCAAGAAGGTCCAATGGAATCCCATGGTTCACCAGCTACACACACAAACATAACAAGTACATAAGAAACAGAGAGAGTCTTCTTAAGTGTTCTGTTTTTTTTTAGTTTTGAAAGATCCAAACCTGAAAAAATCCCCATTCTTCGCAAGCTTTAGCGATTTCAGACAGTGTCTTCTCTCTTTCTTCACCATTGATCTTGGAAAAATCGATCACAGGAATCGCCATTTCAGATTTGCAA